GTGTGTGAGGAGCGGTGGGTGTAGTGTAACGCTACGCTGCGCTACCAACCCGGCAAACCCAGTTCGATTCCCGCTCACGGCCACCACCGGTGACGATTATTTGAACCTCCCCTAGGTCGACTCTGCCTCAAACGAGTAACTTAACTACTGTAGCGTATTAACATCGCCACTGGGGAGACAAAGGCGGCCGGCCGTGGTAGATACAAGTCCCGGGCGAAGCCGGGTAGTACAGCTAGTCATCAATATAAACTGCCAGCAGAGAAGACCGATTGGGAAATCCCAGCGTCAGACGGCCCCGCCTTCTGGCCTGCAGCAGTGGGTGTGAGTTATCAAACGACAAAGATGTGTTGTGAAAACATGTTTAAAAAAACTTTTTTTTTAAACACGCTTTAATGAAATGTACGCTACTAGTAATGGAAGAACTCCACGACTCCAAGAATAACGTAAGGGACCATGGTCAATTACAGCCAACGTGAGTTAACTGTGGACAATTACCAGACCAAAGCCGAAATATAACATAAAAAAGATTGTTAAAAAATATTTGTATGATATAATATAGTATTGTCATCAGTATGACATAAGTATACCAAGTTTAAAGTCGATAACACATTGTGAAGTGGGTTAAAATTGAGTTACAAGATTTGAGGATACAACAACAGAGTGAGTTAATAGAAAGCGTGTAAAAAATAACAAAAAATAACTATATTTATTGCTCACATTGTCTTTGAGCCACCATCGACCTGAGCACGGGCAAAAGACTGCACGGCCAACTCTAGAGAGGGCTTCAGCAGTGACACCAGAGCAATGCCGCTCATCGGCACAGGACTGAGTACTATAGACCGTGTAGCCTGTAACAGACTGTAGGGGCAAGTCCTGTTAATGAGTAGCACTTGTGAAGGCCGGCACGGCACACACGGGGGTAGGTGGCCAAGCACCACGCCTGGCCGCCTTTGTCTCTCCCAGTGACCATGTTTACACACCCCAACGGGAACAAATTTGAGGCCGAGTCGACCTAGGGAGACTCAGGGACCGGTTGAGAAAAATCGTCGCTGATGTTTGTTTGGTGGTGCGTGAAGCGGGCAAGGAAACTCCTCGTGGTCGCCGCATTTTGTAGTAGCGCAGCGCGATTAGCCGCTACGCGACCGCCTCCCCTCCACGCACATCGACAACAACCCCAACCCACGCTCCACTCCACTCGCTGCTGCTACTGCAGCTGCTGCCTCTACCGGCGGTGGCCGAGCGAGCAACAGATTCGAGGGAGACTTTTGACCCCGAGCCGTCGACGCCGCTCTCGCAACTCGGAGGCGCATGCGCGTGCGGACACCACCGCAGCCACCACGAGTCGGAACCCACAGCACACGGCGTGGAAACCGCACGGACCTCACTCCTCCTCCTCCCTCCGTCCTCCTCGGAGGAGGAAGAGGAAACACTCCTCCGCCATGCAGGCAGCGGCGAGCGAACCGAGAGGAAGAATCGCGCGTGTGACCAGGATAGAGAGCTTTAGCGCCTCGCACAGGCTGCACAGGTGAGCAGCGGCGTGGACAACGGAACGAAGAGGGACCCGCTTTGCTTGCTTATTGTTGTGGCTGTGTTGGTGGGAAATGGCTGCGTCACACGTGGGTTCGCCTGTTGCGTGTGCGCTCACAGTAACCACGTGTCAGCACGCCTCCTGCTGCTGCTACTGCTGCTGTTGTACGCCTTTAGTGTCGTGTGGCCCAGGCAAGGACGGCGGCGATGTGAGCTGCGCGTTGCGTCGGGGGCATTAAGCGGGCCACGTGTGTGGCGACTGGCAGAGCGGGGAGGGCTTTAACCAACGCGCGTGCGTCGTGTGGACGGGGGCAGTGAGCGGGGTTGTGAATGTTGTGGATTTTAACACGTAGGAGTGTGGATGTTGGTCTCCAACACGCAAACCCGGGTGAGCCGTGCTCGTAACCAATTGGTACGTCCCTTCTTCTTATCTGTATAAAGGGACATTTGTGAATGTGTCTGTTCGAAATGTTCAGCGTACTTCCCGACATGCAGCAAACTTGAACTTGAAATTTGGCATGTGGGTACTTTCCAGACTACACAATGCAAAACGTATAAAAAAATAGACTTTTTTTATTTGGGGGGGGGGGTGCGCAATAATGATATATTTTACACGGCAAGTGAGTGGTGACGTCACATTTGTCATATCACCCGCATGCGGCAGCGTCACGCAGTGTGCCTGCTGACGTCACACACTGTGCCTGCCGACGTCACACAGTGTGGCTGATGACGTCACACAGTGTGCCTGATGACGTCACACAGTGTGCCTGATGACGTCACACAGTGTGCCTGATGACGTCACACAGTGTGCCTGATGACGTCCCCCCCCACCCTCCGCGTAGGCCGTGTATTAATCCAAGACAAGAATCCAAGTCTCGGGCGAAGCCGGCTAGTAAAGCTAGTTCTCTATCATACGATCCTTATGGCGGAACCCGCGGTGCCAAATAACACAAAATGTCCGAGGCAATTAAATGTGTGTACTCCACTCCACGACTGGGGTACCAATCAATCCGAAATCAGTGCCACTTCGCACTATCGAAACGCCAAACATCAGCATAACAAAATCCGTTATCGAAAACTTCAACTTTCAATCGTGCATCGTGTACAACTCGTCGAGAGGAGTCGATTGCCGCACCATCAACAGTCTAAAGATGACTGCATCACGGACATTATGCGAGAGCCGAGTACTATGGTACCCCGGCGTATCGCCATAAGGTTAATATGGGGGGTGTGGGGGGGGGGTCGATCGCGTAAATATATAAATGTGTCGTTAAACCCGCCACCACCCGACACAGCCAATTAGTAAGCTTTATCACGAAAACAGACCGTGCCCATTAACGTGACTAGTTCAGCACACACTTTTATATTTCTACTCGATCTAACCCCGCCCCCCCCCCAAAACACCACACAAAGTTATTGATGATATTGATGATATTGGTGATATTGATGATATTGGTCGCAACGCCGACGTGGTACAACCGACGGGGTGTTGGCCGTGCCCGCGGTCATGCACTCGCAGCACGCTCTCTGCCGCTCACTGGCCGTGAAGGGTGATGGGAAATAAATAATAGGCGACGTTTTGGGCAAGCGGCCCTTCGTAGCAGAGGACCCCCCCCCCCCCCTCCTCTGCTATGAATAAAGGATATCGGCGATGATGAATGGCCGTTGCATGAAACGTCGCCTATTTCGCTGTGCACAGCCTATCGTGTGTTGTTTTTTTGTATTGTAACTTTATGACCCGCCCTGAAAAACAAGAGCTTCATAGCTCATCGGATTTCTCCAGGCTAAAGAAATATTGTGATTATGTGGCCTTCAAGGCAGTGTCATTGACGAACTTGTTGAGTTTGGTTTTCGTTATTAGTTTATTTTTGGGGTTGGATGGACGTGGGTTAAATGTCAGCCTTGAACTCTCTAACCCTTCACCACCTGACACGGCCAATCGAGTCACGCGGGCAATCGTGCCGCTTGTGATTTTGTGCCACTGCCAAATCGGCGTCACCAAAGGAGGCTCCTGCTCTAACAAGCCACGCGCACACGGGGGACCAGCCCAAGCTATCGGGGACAATCCATCACGTGACGTTTACCCGTACAGCTTTTGTGACAGCCTCCCCCGCGAGAAGAGATTTGCAACCACGCAGGACGAGGGTGAAATCAACCTAAACTATATTTCCGAAGGTAAACACACACAAAAATCCCCGAGCGAATTGAACGGTGCAGTAAATGAACACCCCACTGCTGCGTGGTGTCTTTCAGTTGATTCCCAGAGTTGGAGTTGTACATCTCTTCGCGGTGGAAGCTCTTTTGTGAACTGAAAGCTTCACCGGCATTTCTGGAGGAACAGGACTGTGTCTTGACCCCCACAGTGCGGCACGTGGAGTGTAGTTGCGGTCCTCGTGTGGCCACGGGGTAGATTGTGCAGGCCAAGTAATAGTCGGTGGGAAGCCCCTGTGCCCTTCTATTATGTGGTTCATGTCTGCATCAGTGGTCTCCATCCTTTTTGGACTCGTGCACCAGTCAACCCTCAACTTGTTTTCGCAGACAACCATGCACCAACATCATTAAACCCCACTCTAGATCGCCGTGTCTGCGGCTGCTCCGTGGTCAACTTCCCACAGCCTTACGGCCCACAGCTTGAGAATGACAGCTCAGGATTGAATCCAAGTTTGAGAGAGTTATGCAATATTCATTGTGCTGTGTTAATATCTCAAAACAGCAAACGCAAGTCATTATTAAAAGTACATAAACAGAGAAACATTGCCTTAAAATGGGTAAAGTATATACAGTAACAGGTGATGATTTCGACATGCCCCTAGTGGCCTAGCACATAGATTACACAAAGTAGCTTCACTTTGTAACCAATTGCAATGTCAATCAAAGCTAAAATATAGATGGCATAATAGTGACAACCCTGGACTAATGATCTGCTCAACATTGGATAAACATCGGTAGCCATGTGTTCTCTGACCAACTGCCAGTGTCGTGCCAACTTCAAGCAAATTATACGATTTATATTGGCCCAAAATACAACCACAATGCATCCAACAATGGCCCGGTTATGCCGGTTGGGTAAGGAGTCATAGAGACGGGAGCACACACTGATATTTCGAGAGAGACGTAGATTTCAACCTGGCCAGAAAGACAAATAGGGCCAACGAAAAACCCATTCCCACCAACCCCCGTAAAGCTCCTTACGAATATAAAACTGCGGCCTCATACAGCCCCACGAATTCACGTTCACCACTGGCCACGTTGACTCCACGTTCCGATTCGGATGTTTTTTATTTCAACTGAAGCAACATTGAAATTCAGCAGCGGCGCCGCAATACAATTATGATCACGCTGTACGTAATCTCCTTTGTCGACCTCACTTGCATCTCCCCCGCCCGTTCAATTCCTCCCCACTTCCCTAAGTAATCCCACTGCCCCCCCCACTCCTCGCCTCATTTTGCCCCCCCCACCCTACTCTAATTAATCCCTCCCCTCAACCCCCCTGATTCCACCCCTTAATATGCCTGCCCTCGATCTCCCTTCTGCCACTCTCCTTATTCAACCCTCTCCGCCTCTGCCATCGCTCCGTGATAGCTCACAATTAAGACTTTTTTTTCTTAAATGTAAACAGATTAACCTCTTCCGTACGCAGTGCCGCAGTAGATTGCCAAACCCTGTAAAGGCGTGGGGTGACCTTGGTAAAGCAGTGGATAGACCTTCGCTAATCGTGATGTTCATTTCAAAATGTCACATTTTACGTACGGTATTGCCGTGGGTTTTGGTGAGCAGACTGGACTTGCAATCCAGAGGTCTCTGGTTTAAATGCCCGGTGCTTGATGCATTGGTAGACACCGCAGTTGATCGGCAGGTCACGTGTGGCGAGTAAAAGTGTGGGTACCTCGTCCACGACATCTAGCCAGCTTGGAATATGTTCACATACCCTATAGAGGGGCTCTCTAGAGCTCTCCCTAGCGGAGGCCCTTCAGGCGACAGTGGCGTGAGCAAGCAGTTACAGGGCGATGTCTGTACATCGCCTTTTTATGACACGACTTTGGCTTGCAATGCGCCGCACAATATTCGCTCGTTCTCGAAGAGACGGAACGACTCGGAGGCGCAAGGAACCCGCTAGGAGCCGGCTACCAACGGCTATCCAAGCTCTGCAGTCCTCAACATATTAAGGCATTATCAGCCTATTCAAGCGTATTCATACAGAAGGAAAAATGGAGACGAGTCCACGTTTTTTCTGTATGGCTTCTTGTCAATCCAGTGTATGATGGCACCTCGATGCCAACAGAGCTCAGCAACGTGTGGCATCCACCAAACAGGCCACGTGCATAGCCACCACCGCCCCGTTGGTGAGGTATAATGCGGTGTGCGATTTCCATTAGACAGAGGTGTTCCATTCTGTATATGGATTACTTTGATTTTGTTTATGGAAAAAGTAATGCAGCTTACTTGATGGAACGGTAGACAGGAAAAGTACGGTAACGAAAGTTGGACTGAAGTGGAAAAAAAAGTCTGATTACCATATGTGGTCATCTTCATTCTACAAGTCAGGCTGCATTGAGAAAAATCACCGTGGTGTCCACTTATGTCATTACGTTCCCTCCATCACGTGAAATATCACCTCCGGGGGGGGGGGGGGGGCTTGTTAGCTCATTTCAGAGTTGGCTTGCCTCGTTTTGAGAATGGAGAGGACAGAAGGAGCACTCTGAATTTAGTAAACTGCTGCCACTGCTTTATGCTTTCACAGTTGTGCTGTACAGCTTTGTCCGGTGTGCGTTTTCGGGGTTTGTATGAACTGTTGTTCAACACGACGCCAGACATTTCGGCTCTCAGCAGTTGTCTTGCTGACTAGGAATCACAATCTTTATTTATCCTGGATAAATCCTAAGATGCCCAGCAGGGTCGGGTCAGAAAGTTAAAAAAAAGTTCTGCTACACGTGTGTGAGTTGAACGGAACCTGATTGATTAGCAGGGCGAGTGTTCCGACGTCAGCACGCACGGCCCCGATTGGCCTTGGCAGTCCCCCCACCACCCCCCAGCAGCCAAGTGGCTGTGACACGGTCACGTCAATTAGTTGGAAATTTCCACCGATCAGTGGAATTCTGCAAAAGCCCCGTATTCTGCAAAGGGCAGAAATAACACAGCCTCTTGAACTGCCTGCGTGCTGCATCTCGCTAGAGGATGAATGGCAAAGGCTTTTTCGCCAAGTTTCTGGACGAAAACTACCGTTAACAAATAAGGCCCATGAGGACAGGAAATGGAAGTCCATGGATAAATAAGCCAATTAATGCTGATGAACCTGTCCAAATTGAATGATTTACTATAAATTGTGAGACTGTGGGAATGGAAATGGATGTTTAGGCTTAGCTATGAGTAGGTAAGAGATAAAGGCACAGCCCTGCAATTTGCTTGCTCATGCCACTGTTGGTGGAAGGGCCTCCACTAGAGGAGTTATTTTGGCTACTATTCTACTATTCTACGCTGGCCAGACATCTGGCAAGAGGTGAGAGAACCCACACTTTTCCACACCACAGCCTGATGTACCCACTTAGACTGCTCCGCAGACAGGACATCAGAACATCATGAAAAAGGTTACAAACGAGATGGTGCTATTCAGTCCATCCAGCTCATTAGTGGCAGTAAATCACAGGAAGCTGGCAGGCAGCCAAAAATTACCAAGCTTTGTGCTCTGCCTATTAGAGGGGTGTGGGAAGGGGGATAGTTTCTATTTATAATCCTAATTGAGCAATTTGACGGTATTTTTCCAATTTTGCCAAATTTGGACCATCACGTCGGCATACAATGGCCTACTCTTAGGAAAGAAAAACAAGGTGGGTATCTTTAACGTCCACTGTGAAGCAGACTGGGCAAATATATATTTATGGTTGTTACATGCAACGCAGTATTAATCAGGACGGCCGCTGGATTCGAACCGCCAACGCAGCTCTCCGCCGGGCAGCGTCCACCATCGCCGCTTTTCACGCGTGACAGAGGCCGGGGCATTGATGAAATTTGCCAATGGTTTCAACTGCCACTCCGGGAGATCAAAACGGTTGAGCTCTGGATTGAAAGCCGTGCGCGAAAACTCTGGCTGTCGCCTGATGACGCTAGTTGTATCTACTGGCGAAACATCGCACTCGAATTGTAAATGTTGTGGGTTAACTCTCCAACACACCGGTGTGCTGTACTAGTAACAAATTGGCACGTTTTGTTTACGTGACAAACCTTACTAATTGGCTGTGTCGGGTGGTGGCGGGTTTATCGACGCATTCATACTTATGCAATCTAACCCAAAAACCTCTGATGGACAAGCCATGCGTGTCAAACGTTGCACCGGCTACGCTACGAATTGCGTGCTTTAGTTTGTATGCCCTTGCTGAGCGACAGCTGTCATATATATCCACAGAGAACGTGTTTTTGTTTTTTTACACTGCAAACCTCTGCTTGTCTGTTCAATCTCACTGCAGCCCACTGCTCTCGGATGAGGAAAACCTCAAAATATTCGGAAAGTGCAACAACCAAAACGGCCATGGCCACAACTATAAAGGTACAGTTGGAGGTTTGGGTTAATTTGCAATGCACATATTTGCCGAGATATTGCTGGGAATTACACTAAATTACACGATAAAGTCTGCAACATCGTGGCAGAGTAATTTTTTTCTTGTTTATGACCCACTTAATATAATTTTTTATAAGAACCTAACAAAATAGCAATTATACTGGATAGAATCTGTTATTAATCACATCAATATTTAGCGCTCGTGGTCTAGGTCTGGCTTGACGGTGTCTTATCAGTCAAAATGTTAACACGTAAATTATACGTATATTTAATATCATAATTACATCTTCTTGGTTCTTTCGGTAAAGTCACGTAGAAGGGAAATAATAAAATAATAAAAATAAAACAAAATAATTCTCACGACGTTTCGGCCACAACGCAAGCAGCCGTCTTCAGACGCTGTCTTTCCGACAGACCTGTTCTTCACCTGAAGACGGCTGCTTGCGTTGTGGCCGAAACGTCGTGAGAATTAATTTATTATGTTTTATTTTTACTATTATTATTATTTCCCTTCTACGTGACTTTACCGAAAGAACCAAGAAGATGAATCCCTGCAGTCACGAAAGCTTTAAATCGAAAATCATGATTACAATTAAATCAATTATCCAAGGGCAGATGATCCAGTTTGCTAATTAACCGTGCTTGCAATTAAAAAGTTTCTACGCGCTCCGGTTTGATTATAGCTGCTCCCCACTCGTCGCTGGCCCATCGCTCGGTGTACCGCATCAACCGATTTCTCGAAAAAGCAATCGAAACAAATAACACATTCTTAACAGATGACACATCCATGCAACACATCTCAGTTTCCTTACATATTCACGTTTTCATCTGGTTCAAGCCTCCCCCCCCCCCCCCCCGTTATCCCAGATGATTGAGATTTGACTATTATCGTGGTTATTATATGCAAAGCCATTTTGGTTTATGCAGATTCTAATTGGTGTGGTGGGGGGGGGGGGGCTTTAAAACCCGAGACCTTTACATCATGAGCTGGAGCCGCCGGCATTATTTACTACCATTAAAACTTCCACGAGCATGTTCACATAACTCACAGTGATACTCCATTGTACAGGTTCCAAAAAACCATGCCACGAAAAGGCATTGAAATTTGCAACCTGTCTGATGGCATATCACACTAGGCTTACACACGAGATGTAAAGCTGATAATAGATTTTTCCCCTTTTTTGGCAACAAAACAGGTGTTAAGATGTTTAAACACCGAACTGAAACCTTTTACAAGGAATCATGTCAGTTTCAAGGACAATGCATATATTATCAGAGTATGTTTTTTTTGCATTCTGACCACAAGCATTGTGGTTAATGCAGACATAGTTCCTTGTTAAAGGTTTCAGTTTGGTGTTGTAACATCTTAACACCTGTTTTGTTGGCAGAAAAAAGTGGAAAACCTGTTATCATATTTTGGTACTGGCAAAGGAGGTCCCATGATGTAGATGTAAATCTGCTTTTGTTTTTTCACCCAGCGCAAAGCACAAATTGTCAACTTGTGTGGCCTAATTCTCTGCTGTTGTAGAATCACACGCAAAAAAACTACAATTAGCCAAGGCCCTTTTAATATTTGTTTCATCTGTGACTTTCCACGATTTTTTCCTGCAAAAACGTGGGAGTGAATTTGCGGTATAACCCCGTGTTACAATACGGTTCCCCATGTTCACCCCCCACACTGCTGTGGATAAGAGCAGCTTGATTGTTTTTCCAACGCAATGAAAATTAGAATATTGCACTGTGAATTTGGAACTTCTTTCGCACCATACGTAGCCAACCGTGCTAATTGGATGTGCATGGGAAGGACAACAAACTTAACACAAAAATCAGTTCTAAAGAAATTGGTTTTACATTTAGATTTTAAAGTACAGAACTCTAGTGAATTCTTAATATCAGAACGAAGACCACATTTATGCAGAGTAACGTTTTTTTTGCCAGAGTGATAGACCAAAAATGTAACAAGTAGTTAAAATACTGTATAAATCCCTCTGCTCAAAATTATTTTTCAGTTAATTAGCATTAAATTTCGATTTAAAGCTTTCGTGACTGCAGGGATTCATATTATTGTTTTTTTCTGGTAAAGTCACGTAGAAGGGAAATAATAAAATAATAATAAATGTTTTTTTTATTTTAATGACCATTGTTTGTTTTTTCAGTTGAAGTCACTGTGCGTGGAAAGGTAAGTGATAACAATACAATAATTTACAGACCTCTTGTCAAATTTCTGCTGGATTGATGCCACGTTGTGAGAGGGATTATTTGTGTGTTTGACCATACTTCACCAAGCTAGTCAATATGGTTTGGTGATGTGGGATGCCCAGGACGGTTCAGATTGTCACTCGCCACTGATGTCAGCCGTGACCAGGAATTGATATCAGAATGCTGTGTTCACAGAACAGTGCGCTAACCACAATGCCACTGCTCTATCCATCACATTCATAGCCGGGCTGCTTTACAGCTCCATGAGCTGTGTGCTTAGCGAACCGCACAGTGGTTGGTGGGCACCTGGGTACTAGTCGGGTATCTTTACCAAGCCGCAGCGACCTGCGTGGTGAAATATGGTCCCGTATCTTTCTCCCAATGACAGTGCAGCCTGCAGCTGATCGAACCATAAGCGTGACGCGTGGTAGATGTACAAGTAAGCGATACATTGCGGGATACCTTGATTTGACAATTGTTACATACAATGCATGGACTCCATCTGATAATTAAATCTGGCGAAAGCAAGATTTGTGGCTATCGCCTGATGAAGCTAGTTTTTAATCACTGGCGAAAGGTCGTATTCGAATTGTAAATGTTGTGGGTTTACTCTCCAACAAACCGGTGTGCTGTGCTTGTAACGAATTGGCACATTTTTTTACGTGACAACCCTTACTAATTTGCTGCGTCGAGTGGTGGCGGGTTTAATGACACATTTATGCACTTTAACCCGAAAACCTGTCATGGATTATATTGGTCGTGAAAGCGAACGTGTTAAATTAAATCCTTGCTGAACTGCTGGCTTCTGTAGTCTGCATCTCCCTTTTCCAGTCTGAGGCCCCTGGTCATGTTTAAGTCCAGGCTCAGGTCTTCCCCGTCGAACTCGGAGAAGTAATTGAAAGAAATACATTTGTAAATAATCGTCATCAATGATGGTGAGGGGGAAAGGGGAGAACTCCAGACTCGTGAAGTACGGCAGCCCTCTGACCTCACGGAGGGAGAGTCTCTGGTCGTGATAGAGGAGGATAATGATGATTTTAAGTCTCTGTGTGAATCAAACATAGATTTTTCGGGTTCAAGAGTTGGATTGGATAGAGTTCCCAGCTCGCATTAAGGCCTGTCAGAACACGTGGCAATGTACAACACTGTGAATGATTTAAGAGCAACCACATGTATATTTTTTTTATTATCATTGACATACATTATTGGCAAGTGCATTCTCATGTTCAGTTTCTCCTTTGTTTAGATTGACCATGCCACCGGAATGGTCATGAACATTGTTGACTTAAAAGAGGCTATGCAAGTGAGTATACTGTAGTCCGGTAATATTTTACACTTTTCTTTTAAATCATCAGCAGTCATTATTCTTTCCACTGCTGGATATGAAGGCCTCTCTACGCCGTCGCCATCCCTCACAGTTGCTCGTGGTGTCGTAGTTACCACGCTGGATTTCCCATCCAGAGGTCGTTGCTTAGAGCATGTCTATTAAACCCCCCTGCACACTCTGCCCCTTGTGGTGGGGTAAAATATGAGTACTCTCACTTCTTCCGAGTCGTCTTGCCAGCGTGGAAGAGTAGGCCAAAAATACCTTCTAGGGGTGCTCTCTCGAACCCTCTATCGTTGGTGCCCCTTCTGCCAGCATTGGTGTGAGCGGGCAGTTGCAGGGCTACCCCTTTTACCTATGTAGTGACATATATAGAGTCACTCTAGTGAAGAGTGGACTGTATGTGTAAAGCCTCTCTCTAACGCCAGAGTGAGTACGGCATGGAAGGGCTCCCTAGGGTGCATAGTCCTGGTGACAGTGAGAGAGAAATCGGCTGAGGACATGACAGTCTGGGTGAACCCGAGAGGGCATGTGAGCGGACGAGGTGGCAAGGGGGGCCCAAAAGGAGGTGAGAGGGACACGTGATGTAGGGCCCAGAGTCTTGGGGAAGGATCTGGAAAGGGGCGTGACCAAGGGTGAAGCCCGGCCACCCCGCGGCTGATAAAGGGTGAGTCCCAAGGCCCCGATCGGGGCTGTCCAGAGGTCGCAAACGGGTTTTAATTCCTTACCCGTACCCGGCCGCACCAGGGTCGCAAACGGGTATCCGTACCCGTACCCGGCCGTACCCGTACCCCTACCCGTACCCGGTTGGGTACGGGTAGGGGTACGGGTATCGGGTACCTGATTGCGACCTCTGGGATGAAGCCATGTTGCAGGCGCGGGTGGGTTGATTCTAGGAACTTGAATTGTGAGAAGAGACAAGACGTTGGGAAATGAGTGACAAACAGTTGCTCACCAGTGACTCACGGTCTACCCGTACCCGGCCGCACCAGGGTCGCAAACGGGTACCCGTACCCGGCCGGGTACGGGTAGCCAGGTATCGGGTAGGGTACGGGTATCGGGTACCCGGTTGCGACCTCTGGGGCTGTCTCTGGGAATGGAACCCGCCGGGCTACGTCTTTGATCTTCGGTCTTCACGCACGGCAACGTGGACCAGCCAGTGTGTTACCTGACCTGGTCCGAGAATATAGTTACCCTGCTGTGTTCAGAATTAACGCGTTGCCTCCAAGTTCGAGTGTGCGCCTCTGTGGAACCCACTACACCTATATAATGGTTTCAGTGTACTAACCCCTGCAATGTTTTTGGCTTGTCTGCAGGAAGCTATAATGAACCCAATGGACCACAAAAATCTGGACAAGGATGTGCCTTATTTTAAAGATGTTCCAAGGTAATGCAATATTCACATTAGCCTTGTAACAGTGTAAGTGCATGCACACGGTATAATATTTTTGCGAGATGGCACAAGTGCTGTTTGTACATTAGCTCTTAAGTAACCATGGATATCAGAAACTGATTAAAGGCCATTTAATGCATGCATGCGTCTACATAAAAGGAATGGATGAAATGAATGTGTTATGTTTCATGCATTCAAATATGGAATACATTATCTTGGTGGCTCTTATTTTAAAACTAGGTGTTTAATAAAACATGGGGTGTTTTTTTTCTTAGTCCTGTAGCTGAGAGATGTGTGCCCTCTGCAGTGCAGTACTTCCCATGTATTGTGACTCGGGTTGCTTCCTCTTGAGGTACAAAAAGCCGGGACATGTCATGCGAAGACGATAGAATATTCCAGTATCAGAAGACGGGAGAGGGACATGTCAACATGTCATCCTGAGTGGTGCATTATTAGGCAACTGACAAAAATGTACATTTTATTGTGCCAGGAAGACGTGTGTGTGTGTATATATATATCTCTCAACACGGCTTCCTCAAAAAGGGGACAATCTTGGAAAAACCAGGACAGGTGGCAACCCTAACTTGTGACACTGCGGTAGTGCCCAGTGGCAGTTTGAACATTTCTCTTCGTGTTTTAAATTGACAGCACGACTGAAAACGTGGCGGTGTTTGTCTGGGAGAACCTGCGGAAGCTTCTGCCGGAGGGCTCCCTCTTTGAGGTGAAAATCCACGAGACCGACAAGAATGTGGTGGTCTATCGCGGCGAATGAGCCGTGTCGTGCCGCAGCCTCGAAGCAACTCTGCAGACGCCGTGACTCCCCCCTGGCCCCCACACTGAGCACACGCACACACACACGCAGCGCACACACGGAGTGTCCTGGCGGGGGATTGCCTGACACGACGGGTTTTCATCCGAGGTTTCCTGGTGCCAGGAGATTGGCCAACCCTCACAGGACAGGTCACATTGCTGTTCACAAGGCCAGCCACAATGAGTCATTCACGACATCAGGAGGGGCTGGAGTGGAATATTAAGTGAGAAGAGCAGACCATGAGGTCAGGGGATCACGGCGCCATGACCCCCCTGACCCCCATACCGAATAAACGCTCGCAGGGTGTATATTCGCCAGCCGGGCGTAATTCCGTATTAACAAGGGTAATAAATAAATGGGCTGTAATCACAGGTAGGCGCACAATTGGCCACGCGGTACAACGAGACCCCGGGTTTTGTAAGTGAGGGTGAAGATTAAATAAAAGCGTGTAAAAAGGGAGCCCGAGGCGATTCCTGAGGCACGGGCGCACGTTAAGAGATAATCGTCCGCAGGTGCGAGCGCGTCCGTGTACCCCGCCTGCGTTAGCGGTAGCTGTGGTGTGCACGGGTGTGTGGTTCAACTCCGTGTGGCTACGAGCCAGCCGCACGAGTATGTCCCGCAGGGCGCCAGCGCGGGGGGCCCGATCACTCGGTCGGCGGGGGCCCGGCTGGAGGGAGCAGAACGGGCGGAAGTCGCGCCCCACCTGCCTAGCGAGGGCGGTGGGGTGGACCTCAGGCCCCACAGCTGCAGCCTGCAATGTCCGAAGCAAAAAAAATGCGCGTGAGCCTCGTTCTTCGCACGATTGTCATTCGCCGAATGATTTTATCGCATGACTTTTAGACGGAGCACTAGGTACGTACAGTCCTGTGATATATTGAAAATGTTGTAATGTGTTTAATTATTTTTTTACACACTTTTATTTAACTAGCTCTGTTTATATTTTTTCAAATCTTTGACGCTTAATGTCTTCGGGTCTACGAAGTCTAAGCGAGCTGACATTTTTATATTCTTGGTTCTTTCGGTAAAGTCACGTAGAAGGGAAATTCAAAATAATAAAAATATTTTTTTAATTTCCCTTCTACGTGACTTTACCAAAAGAACCAAGAAAATGAATCCCTGCAGTCACGAAAGCTTTAAATCGAGAGCTGACATTTTGTACACAGACTTGCTGTCTCACGTGGCAATTCAAGGTTTCATTTTTGTTATTATTTTATTATTAAGGACACAGACCTCTGTGTTATACTTAACACGTATTAGAACACTGATTTGGGGCCTGAAGCCAAATGCTGCGTCAAATCGCCGGCACGATCACCTGCAAACCTTTAGCGTTATGGCTAGAAAGGGCCATTCGGGCAAATTGGAAAGACCACGAAAGCCCCCTTTGTGGAAGCAGTGGCACTGCACCCTTCTTGCCCTTGCGCGAACAGAACATTTAAGCCACAAGCAGCTTAGAGGCAGGGAGCGGGAGCTCGAAAACAGGCGTATGAGAGTTCATGCAAGGGCAATTGTGCATAAAACGTCTTGTTTTTTTTCACCCTCAAATGCTCCTTAATAATAACAATATAGGCCAAAGTGAATGGCTTGAAACCAAAGACTCGGCTCAACATTCAGCAAGCTCAGCTCCACTCGGCAAGGCATAGGTGAACAGTTAAGTAATTTCCATGGAATTCCAAACTGGTATCGCTTCTTTACATAGCAGTCTGCACTTGCTGGCAAGCGGTTAATTTAATCGCCTTTAAATGAGCACATTGACCAGATTGGACCTGCACATCTTTTAATTTGGACACTGCATTAAGAACGATTTCCCAAGGGCATTGGGAAGTGGCCCATTGAACCGCTGCAGACAACAGCGATCTAGGGTACTATTAATGTTGGTAAAAGTATTGTCTGTCACACGGTGGTCCGTGTGCATCCTTTTTAAAGCGATCCGCAGTTCCGGAAAGGTTGGCAACCATTTCCAGAGATGTCTGTCTGCTTGTGTGTCTGACTATAGTTTTCTGGTTAGATTTTTTTTTCTTTTACACCTGATGATGATTGCTTGTGTTGCAATCGAAACGTCGTAGTATGATATTATTTAATTTATTATTTTATCTTTATAGGTGACTTTACCGAAAGAACCAAAGAATAATTCCTGCAGTCACGAAAGCTCCAAAATTGAGATTAAAACCCCTAATGTCTGCGACCCTGTCACGAGTAAGGACATTTATTTGGCAAGAGGAGTTTTCTTATTCTTCAAGCAACTTAGTATTTATTTGCAATAATCGTGAATAATAGGATTATTTTTCAGTGAAACTGCTCTTGTCTGCAACGCCCCTCGCCTTGGATAATATAACACATTCCTGCGGAGGGAGCTGGTAGGAACGTTGGGTTGCTCGGTCAATGGCCTGCAGGGTCAACGGCGGCGTGGTGTATTCCGCAAATATGTCCGACTGTGAGGGCGGGCACAATCCAGCGTGAGTAGGTTAAACGTTGAGTTTTATAAGGGCACCACGGGGTGACCAGCCCCTCCCCACCCAGCCACACCCTCCCCACCCAGCCCCTCCCTGCACGACGGACAGACGGACACAATAATCCCCTGTGGGCTGGTGTAACCAGGAGGTTCCTACCAGGATGAATCGTTGTCATAGTCAACGTTTGTTGCTGTCAGCTGCACAATGGATAACGCGCAGCATACTGGGGAAGTGGACACAGCAGACTCCCACCAGCATGTTTTGAACATTGCACAACGCATCATTTTGCAAAACACATTGAGCAACTCGATGTTACGCCGGCCTTGTCACTCTTCTTAACGGCAAAGTTTGGCAAATGTGCAGTGTTTGTACATCCCTGCTGCAGTCCGCTGTGCTTGCTGCGCCCGGCATGCCCAGCACACATTCGCCACTCTCTGCCCGTGTGTGTGCCGTGTGTGCACATTTCTCGATGCTAACACCACCTGCCAGGCCTTTGCTGGTGTTAGGCACGTGCCCTTTGTACCCGCATGTCAGTGCGTAAGTGTGTGTGTGTGCGTTGGCACATCGTTACATTTCTTTGGGGTGATCTGTTTGGTTTCTTAATGGGAGAGCAGTTTCGATCTTCTTGAATGTTCTGTCTGTCTCTCCCTACTCGCCCCAGATTCAGTGTTTTGCATATATGCACTAAACATGGCCGACGTCACACTAAATACACAAACCAAGGATGTGTTTTCCTTTGGGGCCTAAACACCTAAAAACGCTGTGCTACAACAAACGTGTACAACCCGCATGCCCGCCGACAAGCAGCGCTTTCTTACTAGCAGCATGCAAAACCACGAAAGGAGGGGAGGCATCCAAGCAGGGCAACGTTTGTAAAACGTTGAGCGTGTGCAGACCCCTCGAGAGGAGACTTTGAAAGGGGAAGAAAACAATAACCAGAGCAGAAACAGTCAAACAAGTGACAAATAGCAGAAGGGCAGTGTTTTTGAAAGAAATAGGGAAGAAAGTTAGAACACTTAACGGACGAACCAATTCTTTCATTATATATATAAAACAGAGGAAAGACGGTCACAATCTCGTCTCGCACACTTGGTAAAGCTTCCCTTTAAAGCTTATTAAATTATTCTCACGACCATTGATTCATGCGCACGTGATTGCGAAGCAGATGTGATGGGCCTGAATATGCCTAGACCTGAATTTTGGTTGTCATTTGACAATATTTTGTATGACATGGTGAAAATATGTAATTGTATTCGTGCATTAGGCTGTCATGATCGACCATTATTAAGTATGTCTCAAACAGTGTTATCTTGTCAATGTGACGATACTCTATTTTTCAAAACATATTGGAAAATGTTGACACGTTATGCTCATGTGATTGCTTTAAATAAATTATTATTTAATTATGAATTGAAAAGATCTGTAAAATCACCTTTAAAATGTTATTTATGTCGTAATTATAACGTTTTGTGATTAAATGTGCAATTATGATTAAATGTACGATTAAAAAAATGCTATTATTTCAAGTGGTACCTGTAAACTTTATTTACTGATTTAGCCGGGCGGTGGTGGCTATGCACGTGACCTGTGGTCCAGCCCTGTGGAGGAAGTGAGGTTCGGTGGATCACACGAATGTCTGAAACTCCCTGGACCTCAGGATGAAATGTTAACCTCCGGATGAAAATATGGGTGGGGAGGGAGGGGCTGGATGGGGAGAGGCTGGGTGGGGAGGGGCTGAGTGGGGGGTGGGGCTGGATGTGGAGGGACTGGTCACCCCGTGGTGCCCTTATAAAACTCAACGTTTAACCTACTCACGCCGGTTTGTGCCCGGCCCCACAGTCGGGCATATTTGCGGAATACACCACGCCGCCGTTAACCCTGACCATTGACCGAGCAACCCAACGTTCCTACCAGTGCCCTCCGCAGGAATGTGTTATCCTCGATGGACCAAAATTAGTTCAAAGCATTTTCACTTTTGAACAACATTTCTCTCTCTCCCGCCGAAACAGTCACGTGGGACCATTTTAAGGCACTTCCACAGGACTGAAGAGGGCGGTTCTAAATATTGATGTTTCATTTATGCGTTGCACATTATCGACATTTAAGGATAAATGAGAATATCCCATTCCTTTGCAATAGCCAGCTGGGTTTCATTGGCATTTGCTTGATGGTTAGATAGTACTCAAAGCACTCTTCATCGTGTGCAGTCTTCATTGTTAGGTTTGTTTGTGTTGGAGTTTTTAAATCCTTTATATTAAAGTTCACTTGCTTGCTTACGACCGTGCAAATCTTTCGGTCGTTTTTTAACCCACTTCCCGTGATCCAATCGAGCTGACATTTTGCACACAGACTCGTTGTGCGTGACAATGTATTTTCGTGATATTCCTAAATTTTACACCTTTTAGGAATTTTTTTTTTATATTTAATTACCAATTGCTTAATGGTGGCAGACAATCATCTGACCCATAGGTGGCAGCCATCTCAAGCCAGAGGACGAGAGGACTCTAGCCACCCGTTTCAAAGACCAATGTGGGCTGGGTTGTGGCCCATTGAACACGCATATAAAGGATTTATAGTGAAAACTTTGTTTTTACGGATTCATTTTTTTTAAGTGCGAAGTAAAAAATAAATGTTTTTGTATTCAAGCAGTTTCATGGATTGTAGATTGGAGCTCGATTATTTTAATCAACAATAAGCGTAATTTGCAGCACATTTTGTAATTGGGCCAGTGACTTTGATTCGCACTAAAGCACTATGACTGTGCAGCTATACCCACGAGATTGGGAAAAAATATATAAATATTGAATAAAACTGACGCCATTTGTCATTCTCTTAATGTCTCGTGTATGGTTAAATGACAGCTGGCTGAGTATTTTGTCTTTTTTTACTTCACTTCTCAATTCCTCCGAATAATTGCAACTGGTTTGCATTTATAAGGGCAATATTATTCTTGGGATCTTTCGGTAAAGTCACGTAGATAGGTTCAAATAAAATAAATAAAATAAAACATATAATTTGAACCTATCTACGTGATTCTAGATTTGAAGCTTTCGTGACTGCAAGGATTCATATTTTTAGGTTTTTTCGGTAAAGTCACGTGGGGTAAAACATCAAAATTAATAAAAATTCTATCTACGTGACTTTACCGAAAGACCCAAATAATATGAATTCCTGCAGTCACGAAAGCTTTAAGTCAAGATTTAAGGTCAATACTAATGAGATACTCAACCCAGAAGCGTCAAAATTGTCTTTCGTGTGAAATAATAAATTAGGGGGGGGTGGATGGCGTAGGAGTGTGTGCAGTTGGAACCCCCACATCCCGAGTTAGATTCCTAGCCACGGGCAATGTCTGGTGAGCCAGATGCGGATGCTCGAAGCACGAATTAAACATTTATAAATCTCCCGTGTGCGACTCAGAACGTAATATTTAATGTATGGCTACTCTGCCCGATTCACAAATATGAAGGGAGGCATCTTATCTTACAAGAGCGCCTTAGCGCGAGGTGCTTTGCATCGTTTTCAAAGCGGTAACAAAAACAGTGTGACTTGA